GGACTTGCTTCTGGGGGGGTGGGGGTTGGGGGGGTGGGGGGGGGGATGATGATGACGATACTGCTACGCAAGCACAACCAAGAATGTAGTTGCCACCCCCTACTTCTGGACTGTGCGTCTTAAACTTTGGTGTCTTGAATGGCTTGCAGCGAAAACTCGAAATTGGGTGAGGGAAGCCTTTTTTCGGATGATCACGAGACTGTTTCGCGCTCACAGCACCTCCCCCAAAAAAAGCAAGTCTAAAATCCGAAGCTCGAGTTTGCAAACTCGACAAGTCGACTTTGAGGCTTCACAAGATGATCCTACATGACGAAAGTGCTGTAAAGACTGAGTAGACGGGATGCTGCCTGAACATGTTTAAGAGCAAGTGCGTTGGAAGATGATTTTAGGATGATATTGATGATGATCTTTGGACGATGTTTATCAGTTTATCATGTTTTTGGATGATGTCGATGAGGCTGATGTTCGTGACGATGACGAGGTGTAGTTCGTAGCGGGGTGGCTGGTGGTAGTGGCAGAGGTTGTGGTAGTGGCAGTGGTAGTGGTAGTGGTCGTCTTTTCGGTGATGGTGCTGGTGCTGGTGCTGGTGCTGGTGGTGGTGGTGGTGGTGGTGGTGGTGGTGGTGGTGGTGGTGGTGGTCCTAGGTCCTAGGTCCTAGGTCCTAGGTCCTAGGTCCTAGGTCCTAGGTCCTAGTGGAGGTAATCATCGTCGTGGTAGTGGTAGTGGTGCCCAAGATCAAGCTCTTTTGAATCGTGGGCATTGGCCGCAGGTGGATCTCCTCGCATCTTGGTTGAACTGTAGCTTCCGGGGCTAGGATTTAGCTTGGTGTTTACCGATGGTTTTGCACTGGCATGCACGATCCAAAGCTGACTGGTAGACGAAGCTCGTCAAGTGGCAAGTCTGTACATGCCTTGGCGGGAGCTAGGCCACGCCGCACCCGAAACTGTCGCATACATAACTCTGCTGCAACACGTACAGAAATTTACATCCTATTTCTCATTGTTCAACAAGTTATCAACATGCCGCTTGAGACGGTCATGAGGGTATTTTCGGTCTTTCCAGCCCACGGCCATGCACTGCACCGTGGCTCCAGTGAAGGTCATGGTGTCCGAGCACGACTACGGCACGTCTCTCTCCACGGAGTCTCTGTCACGGCTTTAGGTTTGGTGGACTTCCGGGTGTCAAGAGTTTGTGTCGAGGAACAAGCTTGAGTTGCCCATCCAGCAGGCGTGCGGAACGACAAGCGAGGGGCCGACACGGTTCGGTTTCCATTTGTCTAGACCAGCAAGACTTCTAAATGGCAAAGCTGCCAGCTACAGATCTGTATCCTCGCCAATCCCCAGCCTGATTATCCGTGGATGTTCTTAGTCTACACAATCGACGCCAGCTATCTAGTATTGTGAGCCCACTACAGCAGAAGTCAAGATTTTTTCCAAGCTGGTGAAGCAGTTGTAAATCAAGTACTCCGGAACCGCAAAACCCAAAGCCTAATCCCGGCGCCCTCGCGACGACCCTGGACGCCTGAACCCTAAATGCTCTATCAGAGGAAGCCTTGTCCTGGCTCCGCTCGTTTGGTTGGCAACCCGTAGTGCCTCTCGTCAGGATGAGCGATTTGTGTTTCTGCTCGGGAGGCTCTTCAAGGGTGAGCCTTTGTAAGCTGGATCAAGGTTCCATATTCAAAAGCTTTCGGGTCACGTGGTGCCGCGCAGGATGCTACTTATTCTGGTACCAGGATGTACCGGGTGCACTGTAACCGGAATGGAGCGGCAGATGATGCGGTCGTAATTTGTGGCAAGCGCTGTGCTACTCTGAAGCCTCTTTGAGAGCCAGTCTCTTGCTGGAAGTAGAATCTATTCCCTCCCCCCAAAACGGGGGTTGGCTTTGCCGAATCGGGACAAGCCTGCTTAATCGAGTTGTCTCCTAGTGCCTTTCTTCATTGTTGCTGCTCTTCTGGTCTACTTCGGTGTGTGGCGAGGATTCCGCAGATCAACCATCCGAGCTACATCCCTGAAGCTCGCCCAGAGCTTGCTGCGACAGGAGCGGTTCTTTGCCCCAGCGGGGTCGGCAAGGTTTTGTTCGAGGGGCGTGGACATCTTTCCCGTAGCTTCCGAATCTCTCTGCTGGTACAAGAGCTAGTTTCATGCTGCTGTACGTCATGGAGCAGCGGAAGAAGTTCTGTTAGATGAATTGCTGATTTACCGTCTGAGAATTGTCATGGGGAATTCAGGCTTCTGCTTTGCCGCAGTTCGCTCCAGACCTCATCCAGTCCAGCTTTTGGGTCAGACACCCCGAATCCGGAATTCACCATCCTTTAAGCCTTTTGACCCAACATTGTCAAGTTATGAGATGCCTTGTTGTGATGCAGGATTCAACAAGCTTCACTTGTGGAATCTCACTGCCTACGACAGCAGCTGGGCTGTGGTTACGAGTGTGTTTTGAATGCTGAGAGCGTGTTCTTTTGTCGCTGTCATCCTGCATTGAGCCTTTGGTGGGTACCTTACAATGGGCCCTGCTAGTAGACCCCAATGTCTCTGAATACGATTTCTGACCCTTCTGAAAACTAGAGACCAAACCGTTTAGGTGTTCGGGATGGATGCTGGGTGTTGAGTTAGTAGGTAGCTTTAATTTTGGTGTTTCGGAGGGCTTGCTGTCATGGGTTGATTGAGGTACAAGTACAAGCGTTGCGGGAGGAGGGGTGAGGGTATTGAGCGTGAGGTGTGGGGTCGGTCCATCGGTGGATTTCAGTGAGCATTCTGTCCAGTCTTCTTGATCGATGGTTGGCGGCATCCAAGGAGTCATTTACTTGGTCGCTTGGTATGCGTCAGGGAGAAATCGGGGAATCGGGGGTTGCTGCTTGAGTGTGGTTGTGTCAGTGTGTGTGCGTGCCCACCAACAATGACTTTACAGTTCATCCAGCAGGTCTATCTTAAATCGTGCTAGGGTACTGCAGCTGCGAACAGCATATTTTGAAGTCGAGGTGCAGTGCATAGGCTGTCTCCGTGCTCGGCTGAGGATGCTGATGCTTTCGTACTCCAGGATGTCCGCTGGATTTGGGACGCCAAATACTGGCGGCCTCTCATCTGGGAGTTGAGCTGCAGTCCGTAGGTTGGCAGTTGAGAGTCATTAGCTTTCACGATTTCGCCAGCATGCTAGGCAGGACAAGCCTTGCACAAACTTCTATGCTCCAGTCGTGAGTCGTGAGTTTCGTCTATGGAGCCATACCTGCACGTACAGTGCATCTTCTTGACACTCCCTTGACCCATTGCAAGGATTCCCACATGTTGCATGTTTAGGACGTTCACGAGTAGTATCTCCTCAAGTCGAGACCGTCCCCTTTCACTCGGAGGTTTCCGTTGTTGTGCTTTCGGATGGTAATGTCGTGTTGTGCGTAGTAGAGGGTTGCATGTGCATGCATCAGACCTTTATGCAAGTTTCCCAGATGTCCACATAACTTTCGCGCGGGGTACTCCCAAGAGAGGAGTGCCTGGTTTGTACTCTATAGATGCTGTCGTATGCCATAGGAACATACATCTTAGCAGCGTGTGGGCATGTCCGATTGCGAAGTTAGCACGACAAAGCTGGTACTTGCTCTGCAAGACCTGAGTCGTAGCTGTGCAAGATTGGGTCCTGTTTTTCTAGTGCAGCTGTAGGTCAACGAACTATGGTACGCTCAAACATCGGTACACAGTTAGTTAGAGCGTGGAGCTTCGATTCGCTTCTTGAGGTATCCCGTAAACAGCGTGGCGGAGCTCGGGGGGCAAATGAAGGCCTGGTTTTTCTTGCATTTCCCTACGCCAGACTATGCTCGAAGCCCCGGGCTCGGCACCGGAGAGAGTCACGACTCCCTCAGTTGCATCAGCCGAAAAAGGTTCTGCGCAAGGCGCTGAAACACAAGCGAAGCTAGGCAGCTAGAAGCCGGGACCTCCAGACTCCGAAGGATGGGCATAGTGCCCCCAGACGGAACCCTGAATGAAGGCATAGTTTTATCCATGTCCTTAAGCTTAAAGCAACATGTATAATACCTATTTGTGCTAATCAGCGTCCCTCGACCTCAACCCTCTGCTTCAGGGCGGCTTTCTGGCTGTGCGACCTGATGCCGCAACATTCCACCGTCTGGTAAAGGCCATGCTATGGAGAGGAAGGATTGTGAAGGGCAAGATTTCGGGATTCTGGCTGTCGGGTTAGTTTCTGGAGGAGGGCTGGCAGACCGTGAGGCAGTAGCGATGTACCGACGGTTGGCAAAAACACCCCCTGTTTCCAAGACACTGGTGACCTCACGAGATTTTGGCATGCACCGCGCAACTTGCTGGACTATCGCGACAAAATCCATCCCTGTCCACTGTTCGTCGTCCCCCACCCCTGTGAGAGGCTTAGGGAGATCGGGGGGCTTCTTACTTAGTCGCAGAGTTCTGCTTGGACTTGTGCAGGAGGGCTTTTCAACACGCATCCAACCAGCATCAACCAGCCAGAACACGCGAATGATCCTCAACGCACATCTGGGATGGTGAAAGGCATTGGATCAGCCGATACGATTCGGCAACAACGCTACTTGGGCTGGCATGGATTTCGCATGAGGACCGGGGTGTGTGGCTAGTCTCGGCATCATTCGAGCCTTTAGCAGTACATTATGGCGCATAGTTCGGCATGTGCCTTGGCGTCGATTGTGTCGGGGCATTCTGGAAAAGCGATTCCTGGGTCACGCGAATCTAATGTGCAGCCAGCACTGGGCCAGCACCGCCCCTACAGCGGAAATCACTGCTGTGATCTGGTGCGTCAACTTTGGGACCTAGTAGGCGAGACATTCCCCATTGCTTGCTGAGTGCTTCCTCGGTAGGTGCCGAGGTCAGCAGGAGTTTCAAGAGCAGCGGTGCCCCAACAAACGTTTACATCATGGCACACGAATGATGCATCGCTGCAGTGCCCTGTCTTGTGACACAGGTGACATAGACAGAAAATTATGATGCTGACGCTTCTTTTATCACATCCGAGGAGATGGGCTTCTTGAATGCTGTCTTGAAGGAAGACTTCGGCAAAGTTCCTGCGGAGGCGAGCCATGGCCATGAAAGGATCAGCGACTTCGAGCTCAAAGAGCTACGAAACAAGATCACCTGAATGAGTCATTACGAGAGCAACTTAGGCATCCCCTCTACGGGTTAAGTATGGTTAAGTGTTAGAACCTCTTGATATCAGATTCGCGGCCCTCGCGAGCGATCCAGAGCAGGCGCCCCCGGCCCGGAAGCCACAGTGTGCCGCTACCTTCAGCTTTGTCGCCTTATAATGATGCCACTACTTCGCGCTTTGTCGCAAGCTCAAGCCGGACAGGATCGTCTCCCTTCTAGACAGCACCTCTGCGCCGCACGCTGTGTGCTGGAGGAGCACAGTTTACCTGGACCGCTTGACCAAGCTCTTGTCCTATCGTCCCCTGCTGGGAGGATCCCGGCGAGTGATAAGTTATTACAAGGGCTGCTTTTCAAGGGCGGCTTCAATATCTCTATACTTCTTCCCCCGACTTGCCAAGTAAGCGAAGACGAAGAGGACGGCGCCGTGCGGCTGGAGTTTGCGTACCAGCTGATTGAAGCAGGTAGCTAGCCTGCTTTTCAGATCCAGCTCGACATTTCAAACAGCTGGGTTCAGTGGTGTATTATGCTCCTGTCAAGCACCTTCTTTATTGATGCTAACTTGCCTTGCCCTACACTGCAGAAGATGCCTGTAGCAATCTTGCATGGGGTTTCGTACATGGTCTCGTTTTGCAGCATGCACTCATTAGAAGTGATGACATCTGTCTACCTTTGACACCCTTGTTTTGTTTCAGTTTGACATGTGCGGCTAAACTACAACGGGATATGATATTGTAAACCCTTGAAAAGTATTTGCAGTACTTACCAACATGAGTTAGATCCGGGTTTATCCTGTTGGGCTGTCTGCGTCCTTAACACGCTATGATATTTCATAGATGTGGTTGTTCCTTGTTTCATGCTACTCTTTAGTGTCGTCTGACACCAGAGTGCATGAGGTTGTCATGTGTGTCACTTGCTTTGATGCGACCTGGATCACGTCTTTGCAAGATCTGGTCAACTGACAGCGCTGGAGGATCCAATCCAAAGCGGATAACTTGGCGATTACCTCGACCCTCATCCAAATTCCAAGCGCTGGGTAAGCTATTCAAAGTAGGAACGTACCGGAAGCCCCGATTGCCAAACCTTAAAAGGCCTCAAAGTCAGCTTGCATCCAGCGGTCAATGGAGGCATTATGGACTTTCAGGGCAAAGCGAAACCGTGGTCTTGGCCTGCGTGGCTTGGCCATGACTAACTAGGGCTTGCCGGGCTTGCCTTTGCCATGGGCAGTCATGCAACAGAGTGAGGGTCAGTTAGAGTTGAGTCGCCCGGTGTCGGCTTCATACTCTGGGTCCCGATTCCGACGAGTTGGTGGAACTTCGGGGAAGCCCGATGTACTTGCTGAAATATCGGCCAGTATCTTTCAGAGGCCTCTTCGTTGCATTTATAGAACTTATGAGACCGGCGCTGTAGGCTGAGTACTAGTTTGAGTAGCACCCACACGAGTCACAGGTCGATCCATCAACAATGCTCGTCTGTTGTGGCTTTTGCGGGAGTCTGGCAGGCGCGCCACAGCAGTTTTTGTTAGTCTTCCAGCAGGCATCCGACGGTTCGGCTTCGAGAAGGAAGGGCTTCTTTCTGTGGCATATTTGGACATCTCTTTCGCAGCAGTCCTCGTGTGTCCTTCACCGTTGCATCGACAATTTGGTGCAGCACTAGTGTTGGCAAGCTATGGCTATGGCCATGAAATTGCAAGTGCTGGTGCTGGTGTTGGCGATGGTGTTTGTGTTTGTGTTGGTTGTTGGCGCAGTTGTCCGATTAGGAGCCATACCCGGTTCGGCAGCACAAAGAGCATGAGCAGGACGTCTTGCTACAGTTGCGCTAGCAGCTAGCACGGCCAGTTCGGAGTGCGATTTTGAGTACTAAAGCTGCATGAGGGCCACCTAGGCATGCTTCAGCATGAATAGAGCTGGAAACTCCTCTAAACAAGATGCGGCCCGCAGGCCAGGATGACCCGACACTACCCAAACTCCGCGCAGACACCTGCAAAGCACAGGCCATCTTGGTGGCTCCTGGACACAGATGGGTCCGTTTCGTGCTGGATCGGTTCGGCACGGACCCGCCGGGGCTTCACCTTCAGCACAAAGCCTAGGGCTTCCAGGGTATGTGATCTTCAGACAGCCCCGTATGGATGTCACATACAACTTGTGGGAACCATGTGGTTCTGATTTTGCTGATATCACAGTTGATTGTGGGGGGTCGCGTTTTTTGTTGTTCATGGGCCAAGTTTTTGGCTTGGAGTCGTGGTCTCAGAGGGTCATGATTCCGGGCTTGGAATCACTCTCCGATGTCGTGTGTTGACTGACTAATAATGACTAACATAGACAAGAGTGCAGTCGTACCTACATAACCGACAATCGCAAGAAACAATCACAGGTTAGGGGTTCCTGCTTCGGCAATCTTCTGTCTGAAGTTCTGAGCCCAAGCCTTGTCGGGCCTCTTGGTCTAGGGACTCAGGGCACAGGGGCAGCGGGCCTCCAGGCTCAGCTTAGTAGCATTGTAGCACAGTGACTCTTTAAGTCTAAGGCTTGTTTTCGAGGAGCAGCGCCTTCTGAATGTGAACCAACCGTCTCCTGAGCGCATCACTCCCTTGGTGGAGAAGGCTCGGGCCTGAGGTTGTTCGTTCCGGACAGGACCATGTTGCGGCTCCTGGTTGTCGTAGGCCATAGGTTTGCAAGATTTGAATGCTCAACACCCAGGTTGTCTCAGGTTATTCAGAGTATCCGGAAGCGAGAGCCTCGGCCTAAGCTTACAAAGCTGCAGCAGCAGCGCCAGAAAAAGAAGAAGTACCAGTCTCCCTCCCAATCCCCACAAGCGGAAGGACGTCTGATTGTGAGAAACCTCGAACATGATTCTGATGGAGCATGGCGGTTTCAACACTGACAGCTGGGCTTACCGTGTTAGATGTCGCTCTATTCCTGCCCACAGCTGAACAATGCCGCATTCAATCATTACCTCTCAGCTACATTTAAGGAGTCAGACACAATGCCCCCGAATTGCCGGAATGGCATCCGAGTGCAGGTTTTTGAGGCAGGCCTTGCAAGTGAAGACACCAGCAACACGTCCCGTGTTTGTCTTTGAGGCATGAGAATAATCGTCCGCAGTGCCGAAGCGACAACCCAGCTCCATCGCCCCCCACGTTTTGCGTGCAAGAGAAAGGTTTTTTGCCCCCGAAGTTGCCACCGCGACAACCACCGCCCCTGCAAGCAGAACCGAAGATTACGGGTTTGGCTACTTGCGTCGCGGGAAGAACTGGTTTGTTTACCCTGATGAATCTTGGAGGTGCTGAATCTCGCACTGCAGGTCCGGATCTCAGTCGTGTGTTTGCTTGCGCTCGTATGCTTTTTAGTCGATTTGTCTTGGTTGTGTTGGTGTGGCAGTTGTCATCCCTACCATCGTAGAAGTTGTCAGGACAAGAACAGCAGCAGCAGAAGCAGCAGCAGCAGCAGGAGCA